CTTCTGCAGCAAAATGAATATTGTATTCTCAGAGTGTCTGTGTGTGTGTATGTGTACTTTGATGATAGATAAAGAATATTTTTATTATTCTTCCAAGCTTTAAAAACTTCTGAAATATAGTTTCAAAGTAATTTATTTTCAAATTTCCAATAATGTGGTAAATTAATGGTTATTTTTATGGAAAATAGCAGTTTAACTCTACTTCTGTGTGCATTTCTCTACCTATGTGATCTTTTATCCAAAATCTTGTTTGACCAAATAGCAATTAATACTTAATTTATCCCCCCAAGTACATACATGTAAATAAAATTAAGAATATTGGTTTCTGTAATGCTTTTCAAAATGGATGATAGTAGTGTATGCAGAACATGGAAATAAACCTCATCTTGGTGTCAAATCTCATAAAACTCAAATGTCTAAATTTTAATAGATTACATTGAAAAATATTAGCAAAACTTTATGGTAAGATGTATCAACTTTATAATGAAATTACATTATTTGGTACATAGGACAGTGTGTTCCTTGACATCCTGATATGGTTTCGTTTGGGGTTTTTTTAGTTTGTTTTTTTCAAGTTGCTAGTTAAAACCATTTAGTAATGCTAAGAATGAAAAGGAGTATTCGAGAAAGCTTTGATACAGGAAAATTAAAATGTACTGAAATTCAGGGTTTTTTTCTGTGCTCTTTGAGTATTTATTCCATGTATATATATTTTGTGGGGTTGAAATCTAGTGGCAAATGTTTGAAATGCCGCTAAGTGAGTGATAGTTTGGGGTTTTTTTTAGTTCTGTGATGAGTTTTAGGTAGTGAGCTTGCATGAAGAATGATTTTGGGCACTGAGGTAATGCAAAGAATAAAGTAGTTTTCTGGGTTTCTGTGTGGCTTCTTACGTGCACTGAAACAGTTCTGTACTTACTAGGGTTTTGGTAGAGGTGTATATAGCAAGGGTAGAATGTGGCTCTTTCTGAGTGATGTTCACTGGCAGCTACTGTGTTCATTTCAAATCTGAGATACTGTTTCAGGATCAAATTGACAGGTGCAGTGTTCATGCATTTTATAAACAATTCAATGAGGACCAAAGGGCCTTTAAAATAAAGCCAAATTGTGAGCAATATGACCCATAAATGTGACTGGGATATGTAGGAGGTAGAACACAGGAAGGATTGTTGCCTGTGTTCTCCTTGGGAAAGGGCACCTCTTTCCCTTGGCTTTGGTAAGGGAAATAACCACTATTACAAGGATGCAGATTCCTTACTGTCAGCTGATGTGTTTTAATGATTGGTTGATGTAGTTGTTTTTCGTGGTGAGAAACTATTTGAAGTAAGGTAATCCGTCCCTTGTGATGCATCTTTGTTTTCAGTTTGGGGGCCAAGCTTTAGACCAATCCAATGAGTACTAGTGGTACTCAGTGTAAGAGTGGAACTCAAGAGTGGGCTCTGTACAGTAGCATATGTAGGGAAAAAATGCTACCAAGTCTTGTAAATGTTGTCGGAGTCTGAATTTACAGGGATGCAAGTAGGACTTGCTTTGGTGTGCCATTGCATGAAGGTCTCTGAGGAATAAATGGTGGTTGAGACTTCTGTGTCAGGCTGAATGAGGGGAAGAAAGTTGGTTGTTGGGCCTATCCTTTGTGGACACTTCTATCCTCCTGCCAATCTTTTGTAGTTTAGTTGGAGGTCACTTGTATGAGCTTGTTAGATTTTTCTTGAATAAAAAGATTATTTAGAATCACTGTTATTCCTTAAGTAATGAATTACCCCTTTTGTGTCCTCCTTATTGGTCCATGCAGTTAGTGTCAGAGTATTTCAGCTAAAATAGCTAGAAGCAAAAGGTAGACTTAATACTGCATCTAAAACTTTTATAAATAAGCATATTGATTTAATAAACTGAAGGAAGTTTATGCTCTCCAACACCATTGATGCAGGTTGTGTTCACAGATGACACTGGATTCAGGTATTGGGCCTGTATTCATAAATGTTTGCTATTTTGAGCAAGTATTTCTGGTATGAACATGTGGTTTTTGCAACAATTTTGAAGTTTGATCAAGTTATGATGCGAAATGTAGATCTCTGGCTTTGTTAGCATTCCCTGCAGGTTCCATAGGGATTACATGTTCTTCTCAAGTGCATGTAAGCAACATTTATGGCTTAACTGCTTTTATATTTCTTTATCACAGGGTAAACTGGGACCTTCCAAATCAAAACCTGTGGAATTGAGCTACCTCAATGAATATAGGTAGTTCTAGATAGACTGAAATCTAGTAGATGAAGTTTTCAGGATTTTGTAATTTCTTTATGACCATAGATTTAATTCCCAAGAACAGTGTTTGAAATCTCAGTGAGGGAGCCCTTCAGTATTTTACTTAATGTTATCATATGTATTATTCTGTAAAGATTTTAATTTTTTCATTTGATGTAGTTTACTAATCATACCCATAGCTAGAGTTGTATTCAATACCTGTACTTATACTTAGAATTTGCTATATAGAAAGTGATACTCTTAAGAAAAGGAAATCTTTCACAAAGGCAGTAACTCCACATTTTGAGGCCATGCCATTTCATGAGGGCAGGGGCTGATGAGTATTTGAGATACAGCTGGAGTAGTAGATTTATTATATCATATTAGGTCAGTTTTATAAATGTAATTTTTTTCATGAAGCTGAGGTGTTTGACCCACCAGTGTTTTGGTAGCCTGTAACACTTGTGTCTGAGAACAATTGCTGAATCTTTGTTGTTCTCTTGCTGACTAACATAGAGGCAGTGTGTTATAGTTCAGTGTATTTAGCTTCTCTGATGGCTACAGTGATAGAAACTAGATCTGCACTTTAATGTTTCACTGACTGTTACTGGACTAAGGTCTGATTGAGCCTTGGATTTGGAAAATAAGTATGGACCTTTGCTGCTTCCAGTGGCATGTTTTTGTTTCTCTCTCCTTCATTGCTCTGGCAGTGTTAAACAGCTGTTCCACACTAAGTATTTTTCACATTATAAGCAATATGGATTGAAACAATTTTAAAAAATCATAGTTTATGAGCTATTACTTTAACACGTGGAACTACTCTGTGTGATTCTCCTGGAGTCATGCAAGAACCAAATTAATTGTAGCTGTATTTTAGCATGCAAATTTCTGATATTAGCAGATTGAGGATTCAGATCATGGTCTCCTAAATCTTGCAGTGGAAGTTTGTTTGCAGTGATACTAGTACCAAACTACCCCAATTAAATACAATATATATTGCTTTTTAAAACTATTTTAAGACTACTCTGAAGAGTGCTGCTGATAGTCTTTGTTTTTGCAAAGGCTTTTCTCATTTGATGTTTTGGAATTCTACTGTTCTCTTCAGAAAACCTGCACACGGTGAGACAGAACTACTTTTTTGTAAGACAGGAAACAAAAAATCGGGTGAATGAAATGTTGAAGTTTTGGTGTAGTTTAACTTAAGGCAATGAGCTAATATGCAAGTGTCTGATGAGGAAATTGTGGCTGCACTAGTTAGGTCTGTAACAATCACAGCCTGCAAAATTCGTCTTGGTGTGTTGTTTTGATTGTAAAGATCCCTCCTAATGTATCTTTGGCTGTTTGGGAGATTGTGATTATGGAATCACTCCTTCATTGGCAGAGGCTGCATTTTCACTGTCAGTGTTTGCTGATACCGATGAACCCCTTCATATTTCTTGATCTTTCCAGTAATGCTTTCTGTATTTTTTTCATGAGTTTCCTTTCTTTCTTTCTTTCATAATTGTGAAAAATGGCTGCCAGGTATTTCTAACATTGTTATTAGAAACTTTTTTGGTGTCTTGTTTCTTGATTTGTTTTTTCAGACATGCTAGTTTGGTGTGTTCCCCAGGTTGTCTTTGATGCTGCTAGATTTCTGAGAGGGCAGAATTCATTGGCTGATCCACTGCCCCCCAGCTCCTAGTATCTCTGCATCTCTCTACTGCCATACAAATGATTTTTCTTGGATTACATGTTGTGGTTCAGGCGCTTGTGCTGTTATTTTCGGTCACTGTAACAGTTTCACTTGTATAAACAGATTGCCTAATAAGTTAGCTATATTGATCTCTTGCAGAAATTCTGTATTCTGTTTTTGGGCCAAATACTTTATTCTAATTGCTTAGGAGAAGTGAGCTTTATTTCTGTTAGTCAAGGGTTTTTTTAGGTGGCGAGTGTTCTTATTTATTTGTTGGGGATTGCTTTGTCTTTTTTTTTCCCCTTTTAATTTTCATAGTAACCTAGGACCCTCTTCAGTTCCACCATGAAAATACAGTTTTTAAACTGAAGCTTGTGGAAATTAGTTTTTGGAATGATTATAGGTAGGGAACAACCTGTAATCTCTTCTCACTGAGTCATTGCCATATGTTTAGTCCGTATGCGATTATTTGATTTGTAGAGGAAAAGTTTTTAGCAGTTTCAAGAAAAGTAATTCGAATTGTTTTTCTTTTAAAATAGTGTTAATTAATTTTTAGGATTTCTGCATTTTGTTAGTAGATTTAATTGTGCTTAAATTCACATGCAGTCATTAGAGTTTGTTTTTCTTAGTTTCAAATTTTTCCAGGGTTGTTTCAGGGTATAGTTTCGTAGCACTTTTACTTACCAAAACAACTTGGAGAGCAGTTGGTTCTGGAGACAGAGAGAGAGTGTTTGTGTGTGTGTGTGTGTGTAGATAGGCATAATTTACATAAAAATAGAGATATTTTCCTTGGGTTTGGCATAAACGAGAAAACAATGCAGCCTGGCATTGATGCTTATGTAACACTGTGGGAAAACTTTCCTTTACAGTTCAGTTGATTTTATGTTTTTCTGCTATTTTTTCTCCTCATGTAATTAAAGTGCAGATAAAGCTGCATACTTTTCCCGAGCTGGTTTTGGTCCGTGAGCAGCTGTGTTACTGGTGATCCAAGTGCTCCACCTGCCTTTCAGTTTGTTTACCAGGAAATCAAGATGTGTAAACTGCAGGAAGCGCTGTTTGACCCTCTCCGACAGTATCTCATTACAATAATTGCTAATCTCTGAATAAGACAGCCATGTTTTGTGTGTAACACGGAGGGAGCTTGTGGTAGATTTTAGATGCTTCCTTAAATACAGCTTTGTCAATGCTTGCTTGGATTTCATTTTCAGGATAGCTTTTGACAATAGGCATCTGGCGACCTTTGGGCTCAGCGAACTCGGACATGATAGCATGTGTGCTTTCTTCCTTGACTGAAAAAGAAAGCAAACAACAAAAACCTCCAAGACCAAACCCTCGGCTTGTTTTGGAGTGCTGTCACTGCTCTGTAGCGACAGGATAATGGCTACTTCCTGATTAAACCCCTCTCCACAGTAAGCTGTTTGTGTTCTTTATCTATTCTCCTGTAATGCCAAGTGTTCAGTGCTTCTCTCCTGTGCTTCCTTCCCCTCCTTCCCCCCCCCGCCCCTCCTGGCCTTCCCTGGGTTAATCGTTTGAAATGTTTGTAGATTGAAGAATGCAAAAAGAATATATAGAATAGCAATTTTTTTTTTTTTTTAATTCTCAGACAACTGATGCTTCTTGTAATGCTTATCTGGCAGTAGTGATGAGCAAAATCCTGATTTTCATGAACTTAAAAAACCCTAAACCATTGAAGTCTATTTAGGTTTCAGCAAACTAGTATTAACTTTATGAAAAATTCTGATGAATACTCACTGGACAAATGCAGTGACCTAGAATGTGTGTTTCACGCAAATTCTAAAGTATTGGTGTTTTCATAATATTTTTATCACTTCCAGAACTGTTTTCCTGTCTAACAAACTTAATCTTCAAATAAAGCAAAACAGCCATTTTGTCAGCCTTATATGATCATGTGAGTACTGTTTCTATCTTTATTAGAGTTGATGTGTTATTTTCACTTTAAGTAGTTTCTTGGCCCTTGCTGCTGAGGACCAGGTGAGTGTGAGCTGTCACTCAGTACCCAGGTGTGCTCTTATTTTTCTCAAGACTATCAGTCTAACAGATTTCTTGTTGTCAAACAATGGTTTCAGAGTGTTTGTGGTCTCTTGCTACATGGGTCTACAATTTTTTTATTCTTCTTAAGGTTGGTCTTGTGTTGTGCTAGTATAAATGGCATAGCATTTGCAGTAGTGCTGTATGTACCATGATGAATGTTGCTGGCGTTCTATAGCATATAATACCAGTTTGTGTTCTTGGTCATTTTGTGGAAGTTTAGAAAAGTGCTAAATTAAATTTTGCAGTTCTAATTTAAATCAATAGTAAAATAATATTGTGTTCTTGGTACCAAAGACTTTTTTTCTCCTTTTTTAAACTAGATCATGAAAAACCTTGTAATGAATTCCTAACCAAAATAGTTGTTGCTCTTCAAAAGTCCACTTATTCTGTTATCGTATTTTACATGCAAATAAAAGGATGTACAATTTCATTTAGTAACACAATATATCCACTATGTTAACAGAAACTGGAACCAAAAATGAAACATGGAGAAAAACTATGATTCTGTTAAAAGAAAGAGATTTTTTTTTTATAATAGATGGGTAAATAAGACATTGAATTAAACAGCTTTTATTAAAAAACTTGTAAAGTACACAGCATATATGAGAAATCTGTTTTGTTCACTCTGTGAGAAAAATAAGTAGGTGAGGAACAGTGTTCCTTCAGCTTGAGGTAGAAAGAGGTTTTTGGACATACTTGACCTATTAGTTCACATGAGTTGTTAGCTATAGAGAAAAGGGTGTGGACACCGGAGTGGATAGAGCATGTAGGTACAGGTCTGTTTTAAGGAGAACAAGGCAGTAAAAATGCCATGGGGAAGAAAGGAAGAGGGGTTGAACGTATATTACTTTTTAAAAGGGTTCTCTTCTTGCGGGGTGCTGAAGACCTGGTGTTTGGAAGCCATTGATTTGAACTGTTTTCCCCTCCAAATACTTGTGCTATATTCTGAGGATTGCTGAGGAATGAGTGCCATTCTCTCTGAAACTATGACCTTTTTGTCTTGAGAACACTGACTGATAGATAAAGGATTCACAGGATAGCCATAGGTTTTGTACAAATGCTGCCTCCCTTACAAGCCCTTTAATTACTGGTATTTAATTTGGAAGCCAAATAAAGTGGAGTACTGTCCTATCCTAATGTCTCTTACAGAACAAGATTCTATTGATTTTTTTAACAAAATACTGAATTGCTGCTGTTAATATATAAAATTTATATAATATGATATTCCAGGTAATTTAAGTAGTGTTTAATATTGACTATGTCTATGAAATGTCCTAGTCTGGGGACCAGCAAAACATAAATATATTGTCTTCCAGCAGGCTTCCTTGCTGTCCAGCCTTCTTCTAGTGCCCCTGCTCTGGGTGTTTTGAAAAGGTTTCCCTTGCTATTTGTAATCCTATTGCATATTCTACCTCTGAAGACACTCTCAAAGCTTGGTGCCTCACAGCTGACCTTGTTGGCTCGAGCTTCAGCTTAATTTACAGCACTTCTTCCTGCCGAGCAGGTAGAGCAGCCCTGATGGGGGCTGGCGAGCTGCAGTGCCGGGCTGCCTGGGGAAGGGCAGTGTGGGAGGCAGCAGTGGCCAAAGGATGGGCTGTTTGTGCTGTGCAGGGAGGGCAGGTGCTGACCCTGCCTCCAGCCCCAGGGCCCCACGGAGAGTTCAAAAAGGTTTTATTGTGGTTGTTGATTGAATAAAAGAAGTTTTGTTATGGTGGCTTTTTTCCCCAGAGAATTTTACATAAAGTACTTTGCAAATTATTCAAAGTGACATAATTGCAGTGACATTCTGCAAAATTTGCAACATGTATCAGTTAACTTGGCTTTTCTGGTTTGTACAATATTTGAGACAGTGGATCTCACTAAGTGTATAGGCACTTTTATTTAAAACTCTCAATGTGTAGAACACCATAGCAGCAGTATGTGTGTTGGAAGGTTTGTGAGGAGGCCTTGCTCGGCAGAGCACGGAGCATCAGCAGGAGCCTCTGGTGGCCATTGTGTAAGGAGCTGCACCCATTCCTGTGGGTACCTCACTTCCTTCTCCCCTGAGGTTTGGTCAGCATGCTTGCTTGTTCTGTGGGTGTTTTTTGTCACACCGCTTGTTTTGAACCCACTCCTCCTTGGTTCTGTGGCCCTTGTGGAAGGTGTGGAATGCACAGGTGCTGCTTGGCCTGCTGAGTCACCTCTGAGCTGGCACCCATGCTCTGCGTTCACCTTCTGGCATGACCTTTTTGGGCACTGCATTTTGCATTTGTGATGTGCTGCACTGTGTGTTCTGGGCTCTGATGTGCTTCCCTTCATCACCTGCAATATTTCTGGCAGTGAGCACTCATTGACACAAGAACTAGTGGCAGACTGACAGTGTTATTATGATGCAATGAAATACCTTGCTGTAAGGCAAGAGAACAGCATTGTGGGACTCTTCTATAGTTTGGGGTCAAAATTTTACAAATTTCACTTGTCATTGAGAAAAACTGAAGTGTATTTTTACCCAACTTTTCTTTTCACTGTGTTAGAGGTAATAATTGAAAAAAGGAAGCAGTACATGGGAATGTAGTAGTTAAACTGGAATTTGGAGATGAGTTTAGTGTTTAGATGTCTTCAAAGCATACTTCGTAGTATTCCCACATCCCTGCTAACATTGATAGGATAAGAGTAGGAAAAGAGTTTCTCTTCTGCATTAGGGTACATTTCCATGAAGGTTTTGAGCATAGAATAGATAGGTGATTGACTGTAAAGAAATTTCAACCTGATATATTTGAAAATCATTTGACTGTTGTTTCCTTCAGTTTTTTTTTTAGTGTTTCTATTTTTACTAAACAATAGTAATTTTTTCCCCCCAAAATACAACATTTTTCCTGTGTAAAGCTTCACATACTTCCCCTCTTTGTTCCTTTTTACTAAGAGATTACTTTCTGTTTTCATTCATAAGTTGCATTAATGATGATTATTCACCATAGGAAATTCTGGGAAAATAGCTGGAGTTTCAGGCAAAGCATTGGGAGGAACTGACATAAATCACTACACCAGGAAAATTTTAAAAAGTAATTTTCTTCTTAGTTTTACTTGATGATTTTTGTCTTTGACAAATATGAGAGATTAATAAACAGTCATGGCAGTTCATAACTATTGACTGACAAAATAACTCCAATGAAACAAGTGTCTCACTTGAGGTTAAAAAGGATATGGATCTGCTGTAACTGGTATGGACTTTTTAGTCACAGAATGCATTAGGTCTATAGTGTAATTATTGCTGATCCTGTCTAATGACTGTTTTGGGGATTATCTCTTTTGGAGTTAGCCATCTGCTGTGGTTAGAGTAATTAAACATAATTAAGGGTTAACTTAGTTTGAAATCAAAACTATGTATGTCTCTAGGAGAAGAATGTAAATTTCTTCCATTCAAAATAGTTCTGAAATACCAATATTCCAGTTCTCTATTAGAGACATTAAACAAGCAGCTAAAACAAAGTTTGAAAAAGCACCCTCTCAAAAAGACTTCTTGGACCCCTGCAAGCTGAAATAAAAGGAGCAGGGTGGGGGTGAGAGAGAGAGGAGAGCCTTAAAAGGGCAGCTTATTACTGTTCTCCCAGTTCTTATTTGATCAGACAGATGGCCTATGTTAGTTAAAAGCTTGCAAGTATAGCTATATTTACTTTTCTGTATTTAAAAAGTATTGATTTGCCAAGGATGTCTTATTTATGACTCAAGTATAGATTGCTTGTAGGTGGTTCCTAACTATGCTTATTTATAAAATACGTCAGATGTTCACATCTGAGGAACCCCAGGCCTGTCAGCCTGCCCTCAGTGCCCAGGAGGGTTATGGGGCAGATGGCCTTGGGTGCGGTCACAGGCCGCACACGCAGGAAGCCGGGGAGCAGGCCCGGCCAGCAGGCCTTTGGGACAGACAGGTTCTGTCACACCAGCCTGATCTCCTCCATAGCCAGGTGACCTGAGTAGAGAATTAGGGGAAGGCTGTGCATGTGCTGTCTTTGGTACTGTCTCCCACAGGATTCTCCTGGAGAAACAGGCAGCCCATGGCTCGGACAGGTGTTCTCTTTGCTGGGTTAAGATCTGGCCTCCCCCCAGCTGGTTCGGGAAAGAATTTCCTCAGAGACAAGTGGAAAAAACCTGTTGATTTAGCAGGCAAAGCACTCCCCAGCACAAAAAATGAACAGTTCTGGATAACAAAACTCATTTGCTGCTCTGAAGAGACAACAAATTCAGAAAGTCTCTGGTGGGTGGTTGCTCTGTATCAGTCCCTCTGGCACTGGGAAAGGCTGCAGAGAGGGCCCCAGCAGGCTGCAAAGTGTGAGCTCTTGGTGTTTCCTTGGGTTCCGGTCTGGAGCAGGTCCGAATGGTTGCAAGAAAAGGGAAAGAAAAACAGTCCAGGGAAAGCTCCGACTGGCTCAGCTAGCTAAACTAACTAACTAACTAAAAAGCAAAAGGAGCGTGGTGTCCTGCCCCATCCATGCACAGACATCTTCAGTGTTCCCGCAGACTGTGGAAGAGGAGTCCAGTCTCTGATAACAAAAATCTGCACTTCTTCTCCCCGCCTTCGCTCTCAGCCAGTCTTGGGGACGCAGAATATAATATCCAGCATAAACAGAACACAAGCATAACATCACCCTTGGACATTGATTCATGATAAATTGGACTGTAAAGAGTAAAAGCAGTGAAGTCTTTAGGTGCTGTTGAGAGTGGAGTGGCTGTTTGCAGTTGGTACAGAGGGTAGGCAATTCTCCCATGTTAGCAGTGTTCACTTTCCCAAAGTAGTATACTTTGTTCTGCTAGCCTGCAAAGCCTGGAGACTTTCTTCATGTATACAAATTGCAGTGTATAAAAACTATTAGTGACAAGGAATGAACAATTTAGTTGAAATGGGCGTAGTGTATCTTCACAGTATTTTGTGTTTCCCCATTGATTTTGCTTTTGTATTTGCTGTGGCTTTTTAAATTTAATTTTTACTGTCTGAGACAACTAAGGATCTACTTTCTGGAGAGGCAGGTAACAGGTTTTATGCTATCTTTCAAGTGTGCATTTGTGAAGTCACTGTTTAATACAGCTTTGGATCAGAAGTGCTGCTTAACATACCAGTTTTCTAAGTTGTTTAAAATAGAATTTAGAAGAGTGTGTCTTCCTTGTGTATTTGGCATTCTGCTTTACAAAATCTCATTTTCACTGGGAATGAGATTTTACTAGTTGTTTCATTTAGGTTCAGTTCTTACCCCTCAGGTTTCAGGTGTAAATCTGAGAAAGGGTGTTGCCTGTGTCCATGAGGGAGACTCCATGACAGGAACAGGTTTCTTGGAAGTTTCCCAGTTAAGAGTTCAATGTGCTTAGTCTCATGGCATTTTTAATAGGACAGGGACTGTGGAATTTTTTCTCCACCTTATTTATACTTGATCTTGACTCACCATCATCTGCTGCTCTGGCAGATTGAGTCAGACAGTCCGTTGATGCTGCTACCACTGTGAAAAGACATCATTGGCATGGCTGCACTTCTTAAGTATTTGAGAAACCGCTTTACAGAATATGCTGAGTTGGAAGGGACCCACAAAGATCACTGAGTCTAACTCCTGGCCCTGCACAAGTCTGTCCCCAAGAGCCACACGATGTCCCCGAGAGTATTGTCCAAACACTTTTTCTAGTGTTTGTAATAGTAATGTTACTGTCTGTTTCTCTTAAAATACACATGCTTGTTCCATGAGATAAGTCTGGTGGCTTTGGATTTAGACAATTCATGGCACAGATGAATGTCTTATTTTGTATGAAAAGCTCACCAGGAAACAACACCACCACCAAAAACTCCTAGCAACTGACAGGAGTTCTTGTTCTTATATTATCTCACCATAGTTGCTGAGTCTTTTCTTAAATTAAGAGTCTAGATATGGGCGTTTTGGCATGCAGTACCGGTTGTTTAAAGTTGTCTGTCAGAGGGCAGCGAAGAGCAGGGAGTTCTGCAAGGAGGAGTAAGCTGGCAGTTGAGGATTACACAGGCAGGGCTTTTGCCTACTCCAGCACAATGCTGCTCACGTGGTTAGACAGAATAGTGGGATCTGTCATGCCCAGCATCTGTCAGGTTGCCTGATGAGAAGCAGCAGAAAATGGGAGCTGATGCCATCCTAGAGGGCAGCTGTAACATGTGATGTAGCCAAGACAGGGGCACAGGCAGGCTGCAAGAGTGACGGGCTGGCTCTGTCCAGCCTGAGCTGAGGTGGAGCTCCTGAGCACAGGGTGTGGTAGAGGCATTCAGGGTGAAATGTGATGTAACTCTGAGCAGCAGTACCAAATTCCCACAGTTCTGCAGCTCTGCTGAGTTCCCTGACAGATGGGTGCTGTTAGTGGGATGTACCTGTCATGGAAACCTCTTGAGAATTTAGTGCGGATCCTGAGACACAGTCAGCACAGACTGTCCCGTGTGGTTTCCCTTGCTGCCACAGAAGACAGATATTTATCTTCTCTCTTCCAGATATGGAGTCTGGAGAGCGGTTAACGTCCTCATCAGTCTCCTCTACTACAGCTGCTTCCACTCCAGCATCTTCTACACCGTCGGTCACTGCAGAAGTATCGAAAGGCGGCCTTTCCTCTGGAGCCGCGACACTGAGCTCCACAATCAACACGTGTGGTAAAAATGACTCCAGTCTATATTGCAATGTCATTGTAGTGTTTGTCAGCACTTGTAATCATTATTACAAGTCAAACATAATAAGGTTGCACAGATGCATCCAAGAAAAATGTGAGGTTTTTTGTTTTGCCAAGTGGCGTTCATTTGCTGTGAATACATTTTACATAGGTACTTACTTATTGAAGGAATGAAATTAATTGAAAATTACTATTTAATATGTGGGAAAAAAAATTCCGTTTGCAAGGCTGCCTTGAGAGTGAGGATCAAATAAAGGGTTCATCTAGCAAACTCTGCGCCATTTTCACATTAAGTTGTAATAATCAGCTTCTGGAACGTACATCTTGTTCTCATCTTTTAAGCCCAGCCCATACTGTAGTTTTACATTTGGACGAGTAGTTTCTTCTAATGGAGCTTGAAATGGAAAAGATAAATGTCACAGTCTTGGGTAATCTTGACTAGAGTGAAATATCTTACCTTGAATCAGAAATATATATGGAAGATTTCTCCATGCAAGAATCTAATTTTTGTGATTGAAACTCCCATTTCAGCTGAATGATGCAAACGTCATCCACAGAACAAGAAACGGTAAACTCTTCCCTGCTGTTTCTCACTTAACTGTTCATAAACAGATCTTTTTTTGGAGAACATTGTTTCTGTTAGCCTGATTCTTGAGTGATATATGGTAAATAGGAAGTTTTTTCAGCTTAAATTAATGGTATTCTCCTGTTTTCAGAAAAAACTCTGTTCTTGCAGCAAAATGAGCAAAAGTATATTCTCCAATCTGATACAACTTGATAATAACTAATGAGTAGATTCCAAGTCCCCAATTTCATCCTGCATTTGTTTGTTTGTAGCTGCCCCAAGAAACTGAAACCGGAATGTCTCCAGACCTAGAGTTAGGTCTCAACTATTTATTTTAATTTCTCTAAAATCAGCCAGAAAATTCTTGACTAAAACACTTCTGGAATAAATAATGAAGTGTTTCATTTTCCAGTACCCCACTGAAGATTCATCTCCAAAAGAATTTTTGGTCTATATTCATTAGCCCATGCTACTTAAAATGGGTTTCTTTGGTGGTTCCTAGAATGTAGCAGGAGTAAATTTCCATATGGCTGTGAATGTATAGTCCTAACCTGAGGATTTCTGTGACTCATTTACCTCTCCTTACTGCTTTTGCTGTATGCATATTACATCATGTAATTCTGTATCTGCTGTTAAGGTTCTCTGCATTTATAGGGATATGTACTTGGTCTGCCAAAATACAGTAAGACTGAAGCAGATGAATAATGAAATAAAGGTACTAAACTGGCAGTTTTGTTCTTCATTATGAAACACAGCTGGTACTTTAGTAAAGGCCTTTTAAAAATTCTATTCTAATCTTTTATTTTTAAAAAAGTGTAATTTCTGTCTGGTAGCTAATAGTTAAAAAGACTGATAGTAATTACCAGCATTCTTTTTCTTTTTGATGGTCAGATTGTTTGCCTGGCTGCATCTGATGTTTAAGAGCATACATAATTTTTCAAGGGCACTTTGTCTTCCTAAAACCAAGCTGGAATGTAGTTTACTGTCAATACCATCAGTTTTATTTATGAGTAGGTCTGTTTCTCTGCTGACACAGTGCACTGTGGTTACTGTTGAATCCACTGTGAAAAGGTTCCACCAAGTGTTTATGCTGCCAGCCAGCTGCGTGTCTTGAATTTACAAGACACTCTGTAGCCAGGATAGACTGTGTACTAGCCAGTTCTAAACTGCAATGTTCTTCACTCCTGTAATATTTAAAAAACCCCAAAAATGTCTGCCAAACAGATAATTGAATTATCTTCAAATTTAAAAATGCATTTTTCTAGTATCTAATAAAATAATTTTTTAAGAATGAGCAATTATTCTTACTAAGAGAAGGTAATGCATCTTAATGCATGAGACTAGAGAGGTTCTTTTTAGCCCAAAAAGATCTCTTTATTTTCTTTGCAGCAATCGGTAGTCTATTAAGTAGTCTCTGCAATAAACTTGATTGCATACCGTGTCAGGTGCCCATGATACATGATGAGTTAGAACTGGAAGTCTTTATGCTTTGCCAGGGAGATTAAAATACACGTAAATTATTTTGGCGTATTCTCAGGTCAGAAAGAGAAAGCATCTCTGTGAAACCATTGTGGAATATATCACATACTGTTAGTTTAATTGATTAATTTGCACTAGTTCCTGAATAATTAAAGCATTCTAGTCAAGTGAACAGAGATTTTATTTGATTTCTTCATATCCACCCATTGCTGAAAATAAGGTGCATTGGAAAAGTAAATTGCCTCTGGAAAGAGGTTTACATTCACCCTCATGAGAATGTTATCAACTTTGGAAGAATATAAATCAATAGCTTTTTCTCTAAATAAAACCATAATTCAGTGTTTTGTCTTTATGAAAAGCAATAATATTAGTGTGTGAAACCATTCTAAGCTGAACGTTTAAGCTGTATTGTTTTGATGTTATCAGAGCTGGAAAGTCTGTAATTTTTATTTTTCAAAAAAGGGAAGTTCATTAACTTTTTATTAAATAACAAAACTTTGTTTTTTCTCAGACCAGAAGCTGTTTTTGTTAGAGCAAAATTGTTCAGTCTTATTTGGAGTTCCCTATTTCTCCTTAATGAGATCCATAGCAATTTTAAAATTGTGTACATAAATGCACAAAGTCATTCTTTGTTAGTAGGAGACCAGGATTGTTGAAATGTATTTTGCCCTTTGGAATAATGCTTTCAATCATTTATCTGTGCAGTGGTTAGTAGAATTTCAAAAACTGTGCTCAAAAATATTTAACCTATTTAAAAGTAAGACAAGAATGTTAAGGACTGAGATTTAATATGAAATTTACCTATGCGGAGCATGTTTAAGTTAATAACTTCAAGAGTGAACATTAAAATAGGAAAATTAAGGAAATACTATAATTATTTGGTAAGCAGACTGTTAGTGGTTTCATGATATAAGAAAGAGGGGAAACGTCATTACAGTTCAGTGTAGTGTTACAAGACTTCTACCATTTTTTGTCGGTGTTTTATTACTTCCACATGTTTAAATGTGTATTTTAAAATGGATGACTTCTCTTTCCTAGATACATTAGGTAATGGTTTAGATAGCACATTTAGTATGTCTTCTCTCAAGGCCGTTACAGTGTGTAGTATAGTGTACAGAAAGCTGTACTTTCTCTATGATTGATGAACAGTCTCAAAGATTCTTTTGACTCGGAAAGTCTTCGGAGTATTATGAAACTTTGCAATGCAGTATTGCTCATCAGCATGATTGGGAATCACCACTATGGTCTGTGAGAGAGAAGCATTACGGAAGAAGATACAGAACTGAGTTTGGGTTGGTTATGGTTGTTTTTTGGGCCTTTTTTGTGATAATTTACAAAGTGATGTTAAAGCCATTTGAACTAAATTCAGCAAGTGTAGACCTGAAACACGATGCTTTTAAACTCATGTTAGAAGCTTAGACAAATACTCTACACATCGCCTGCAATATTTAGCATCAATGAAGTGAAAATCCCTTCTTGTCTTGGAGGAAGGAAAAAATGGCACCTGAACCAGAAATGTGAATCAGTAAGAGGAATTTCCCTGCACTGTCTATGTAGTATTCCCAATATGTTGCCTTGTAGTTGCTACCTTGTAGTTGCTAATAAATGAAAAATCGTAGTGAATGCCCTTGTGTTCCTAACACCTAATAGGATGAGTTACTACAGTCAGGAACTCATTCCAGAATCATTCCTTATATACACAAACACAGTAATAATGTTTAAAACATGTAGAGGGAGAAGTAGGATTAGTAAGTTAATGGTTTGTGTGTAGAACTCCACCAGAAGCTGGTCAGTGTGCAGGGGCCTTTGTTGCTAATGGGAGTCTTCTGGAAAACAGGGAATGCTGGTCTTTCTTATGCTGTCCTTTTTGATGTGAATGCTCTTTCTATTAAAGGATGGCATGCATGAATTTAATGTTCTTTGATGTCAGTCTTTTCCTGCTTTTTATCTCCATTAGGGACTACATTGTTCTTCTGGTTATGTATGCTTTTACAGTCTGAGAATTCCATTATTTGTTTTCTGTACTTGTGTTCGGGCTCTCTCTAAAGCTGTAGTTCTGAAACTCCTATGAGATTTCCTCTACCAGGATTACAGAATTTCTAGGCCTTTGATTTTTGTTTGTCATCTTAGCCTATTATATATTCTTACTTTGTCCTACCCTGTGAATATATGCTGACTTGCCTGCTCTCTTCTGTGCTGCCCTTCCCCAACCTTCCAGTGTGTAGCAGCTCAAAAAACTTCTCTATTTACTCTTTTCTGGTCACTTCCTCTGTTCATTTTCCTTTTCACGTATTTTCCTTTCTGTATTGACTTCAATGTCCTTACTAGGTCTAACTGTGCGTATGTTTTGCATGTAATTTTTAGTCTGGTTCATCTAGCTTTAGTGCTCCCACTAAGACCACATTGCCGCTCTCTTCTCCCCTGCCTCTCACCACCACCCTTGCCCTTGAAGAGGGCTGGAGGCACAAAAAGCCAAGGTCACAGGTCGAGATAAGTACAATTTATGGAAACAGAGATGAGATAAGAAAACAAATATTAACATCAGCAGTACTGACAGAGGATATAAGAAACAAACTATTCAACTGGAACCCCGCCCATCCCAACAATAGACAATTACTAACTTCTGCCCCTGGTGCGCCAGCTGGGAAGAGAGCCCTTCTCCCTGGAAGGGTCCCTTTCCCCCGCCAGTGATGTGAGACTTATTCAGATAACCTTTGGGTCCTGGCCATGCCCCGTCCCAACGACTGCAGAAACTAACCCTGTCCTGGCTGGAACCAGGACAGCTCTTGATCACATCTGATCTCCATCTTGTCTTCCAGCCTCCCAGTGGGAGAGATGGCATAACGCATAGTGAAGTTAGAAGCAGATCACCAGTTAATGCTAGGGTATTTGAATAGGGCTGTTACAGGAAAAAAAATAGAGGCAGCTTTTTTTGCAATGCAGTGTCAAACTCAAGCATAGAAACCTCTTGCAGTGGCTGTAGAGTTACCATCGGGTAGCTAGCAGTTCCTCTGTTTAATAGATGTTCTCGTGGGGAACGGCTTCAGATGTGGTTTTGTGGTGGAGGCCTAGGAGTATTGCAAGACTCAGATTGCAGAGGTGACTGAAAGCTGTTGTGGTACTTTGTAGTGCCAATGTAGGAAGAGTGCTGAGATAATAATGTTAAAGGTGAATACTGATTCAGTTCATAAGACTAGCAGTTTCACTTTGGGGTGATCAGTGTCATATAGCTTTCTAATTAAGTATTAATTTTCAGAATGCATTTAAATAAAACTGCATTGCAATCTTTATCAGCATGGCTTTAATGTCTTAAGACCAGAGTTGCGTCAAGAAATGTATGTCATTGTGAAGTTCCTTAATGTTTTGTTTTTACTTCTAGATTGAGTAAATCTGCTCTGAATTAGGCACAGCAATATGGTTACTGAAATACTTAAATACAGTATTAGAACAACTGAAGTTTGTTTTTATTTCCTTTGTGGTTCAGAATGGTGGCGAACAGCAGACACACACTCTCGTCCTGGGGCAGCTTTTTTCCCACCGCTCTTGGGAATTCCCACATTGTTTGCTCCTCCTGCACAGAATCATGATTCTCCTTCATTCCACTCAAGAGCTACAGGAAAAAGTAGTCGGAGTAATACTGACAAAGGTAATGGCTGGAAGTAATCGTATTGAACTTCTGCACATGCAGAAAGATATGGAATTTGACCTTTACTTATTCTTCCCATTCCTAAACAGTTCAATAAAAATTGGTTCTGTTAGGTAAGGATGATGCATACCAAGTATGTGTTAGGCCTTTAAATCATGGATGCTCTGTATGTTTAAACTAAAATAACTCCAAATCAGAGTGACACTTAGATGACAAATTTTAATATATGTGGCAAGTAGCTTGTAAGTATCTAGGATCTTGTTGCATGTCTATGGAACGTTAGGTGACTGGAGCATTTCAAAGAAGTTACCTGTTACTTCAGATTTATTTTGATTGTCACTTTGTAAATTTGTCATCTCTAGGTGTGAATGGATCACTGAATGGCAGCAGCACCGGTGCGGTCTCAGCTCTGGGCACAGCCGTGCTCTCCACTGGCATTGCAGCATCGGCAGGACCAGTGAAGAACGTGACCCCGGGAGCTGGGGCACGCAAATACAACCAGGAGCAAAGCAAAGTTCAGCTTTTGGACACCAGGGCTGACAAAATCAAAGACAAGGTAGATGCACTGAAAGAAACTGAAGAGTCAGACAAAAAAATGGATATGTATTGTTGTCTTCTCCTTTGTGTTACCTTTCATCTTTAAGTATAAATTTGATGCTGTTGATAGATTTCTTGATGCAAGCACTGATTTCAAACTCGTTTTATTGACTAAATACTGAGGTGCTATAAAAGGATGGATTTGATGTGCAAGTACCTTTCTTAAGAATGTTGTGTTCCATATCTTGACTTTTAAGTCTTTTGTCTCATGCCGATAAATGTCAGGTTGTCTTTTTTTTAGTTCCTCTAGTAAATTTTGAAATACAGAAATGGAGCTTTTGTTCCTAATCTTACTTGATATGCTGATGTTCATAGCTTCTTTTCTTCTGAAACTTTTTATGAGGTAAATGGCATTTGTCAGTGTAGTGACTTGAGCGACCTTTTGTATCAAAACACAGAAATTACTCCAAATGAGAACTCTAATATGATGATGATTATGGTTATTAAAGCTGAGCTTCGTACAAGTGATGTTGTGCTTTTAAATTTCTAAGTGTAAAACTTGTCTTTTCTTAAAAGCATGTCTTGTTTTAAAACCTTTTAATATACTTTTCTAAAAGCTCTTTTATTTTTGGGTTTTAGTTTTTTAGTATTAATCTTCTGATTTCATCAGTCATCTCCTTAGTTGTAATTTCTTTTTAGGGATGGTTTCTAAAAAAACCTGCTAAAATATTTATTTAGTTTTAGGAAAAAAAAGAAAAGGTAAAGCTGATACCACGGTGTTTTTACAGTTAATGAAAATCTAGGGTTACTTTCGAAATAATGTATTTGTCAGAGTATTTCAGCAGATTCTGGTCCATTTTTCAGAAGCAAGTCCCAGAAGCAGTTTGGTGAACATACTCTTTTCAGTCCTCAAGACTCTACATTGCTGTACAGCCCATACTGTGAAAATAGCTAAATGAATGCATCACTGAAACTTTCGATAAACCTAATGTTTGTTGTTCTTTCTGTGCTGACCTGTACCACAAGTTTTGGGCATGAATTTTTTTGGAATTGGCACATTCTGTGGAGGTTTACTAGACCCAAATTCTAGGTTAATGTTCTAGGCCTAAATTTGGCATTTTATGCCAAATAATATAAATTTGATGTAGCGTTGTCAGCAGTGGTCAGAAAAAGACTTCAGTGGAACTTTGTGACTGATTTTAGATTTTCATCACCTTCTGCTGAAGCACTTTTTCTTTAAGCATTGCAGATCGCTTTTCTCCAAAGCCTCACTCTTCTTTGTTTCAAAGATTATGTGTCATAATAAGATTGCATAACAGATTAAAATGGAAGCATTAACAGCGAATTCATCTTCCCGGTAGAAGCCCAGAAAAAAAGCCGTGGAAAGCTCAAGTAACAGCGACAGTGATTCGGGCTCCTCTTCAGACACCTCGAGTGAAGGTGTAAGTAGTAGTGACTCTGAGGACCTGGAGGAGGATGAAGAGGAGGAGGAGGAGGACCAGAGTGCCGAAGAGAGTGAAGATGATGAATCTGATTCTGAAAATGAAGCACATCACAAAAGCAAGAACAAGGTATAGCACCTCACTGTCCTGTCCACAGTCTTGTTGCTAGAAGCCGTTTGTGACAAGTTGACCCACTCATGTCTGTGAGCAAATAGTCAACAATTATTTAACTGCACATTAATAAACGCTAAGAATATAATTTTAGGTTTGCTTCAGCATTTTCTGTTTGTGGGTTTTTTTGGTTCTTTTGTGTGCTTGCATGTCTTTGTATTGCTGTTCTTTACAGGGAGTTTACCATTGGTAGACTTATTTTTGTTATGAAGTAGGCAATACAAAGAAATTAAGTACTGTGTGGAGGTAGTGAATTGAAAATATATCATTGTGGATATTGCTTTGGCAGTTACTTTTTTCCTAGTAGAATGCCTGCCTTTCCCTAGTAGTAGAACAGCAAGATGGGAATCTTTGGTATTCTATTAGGTTTACAAACACATTTAAGAACAACCATGGTTTAATACTTGTTCTCTAGTAAACATTGTTGTAATATGCTGAAAGTATCTGGGTGAAAAAACTGAAAATGAACAGTAAATATATTACTGATTTAAAAGTTACTGTTCATCCTCTGCCAAGACTAGTGTAATTGTTTCAGGGAGACTGATCATATGTTTAGCCTTTTAAAAAGAATCTTTAACTTATGTAATGAACACTCAAAAATAAATATTTTACAGGTGCTAATGCATAGTGGTGTAACAGATGCGAAAACCGATGGACAGAAGTCACAGGACAAGTGTCAAGAAAAGAGAACACACCAGCAGATACCTCTTGTGTCTGATTCCCAGACTCACTCATCATTCCAGTCCCAGCAGAAGCAGCCTCAGGTTTTGTCACAGCAGCTTCCGTTTATTTTTCAAAGCTCTCAGGCAAAGGAGGAATCTGTGAACAAACACACAAGTGTAATACAATCTACGGGATTGGTTCCTAATGTGAAACCTTTGTCTTTGGTACATGAAGCCAAAAAGGAGACCTATTTAAAACTTATAGTTCCTTCCCCTGATCTACTCAAAGCAGGGAATAAAAATACCTCTGAAGAATCTATCACTTTGACCAGCGATGTTAGATCTAAGCGGGTGAGTGAAGTTTTTGATTATTTGCAACCTGTGTCATCTGCTTAAAAAGGCATAACATTGTGCGATCAAACTCTTTTAAATATAGTGTTTTAAAATTACAAGTATATATATTTTCATAATCATGGGAGCTTGTGTTTTTAGAGTTGTTCTGGATTTCTGAATGGTGTAAATGAACTAGATTGTGTGGGTCATGCATCTCTTAAGAACAATGTGCACCTGAAATCAGTATCAAAATAAGAAAACTGTAAATATCAAAATAAGTAAATTGTGTGGCCTGGGTATTTTTCCTGTGCTTCTAGGTTCAGTGAAAATACTTATTTAATACTTCACCTATCTAGTATGTGAGCATGACTTCACTTTTTTTCAAGTTCGATAGTTTCAAGTCAAAGCAATTGAAATCACCTATTTTAATCATGATTTTAAAGAAGCTGAAACCCTTCAAAAAAAACCAAACATGCTCATTGTAATGTTGAGTTTTGTTTGCTCTTTAAAGATAGGTGTTTATGCACTGATAGCTGTAGAAACTCAGTATGGCCATTTCAGTAGTTTTTTCAGAATCAAAGAGTGGCCTGGATTGGAAGAAACCTTAAAGCTGTGCCCTGTCCCACCCTCCCTTCAGTTCATCTTCCTTTTACTGGTCAGGGCTGTACAATAAGTTTATATGTCTGTCTTAACAGTTCTGTGGCTTCTAGAATTTTTAGATCCTCAGTTTATTTATTTTTTAATAGTAATTAAGGGGACTGCTGATGAATTTTCTGTTTAGTGAGATTTTAATGGGGATTTGAAGAGAATAAAAATCTGTCGTTTTACAAACATCGAGGCTCAGGATGCATACAAAAATAAATATATTAAAAATGCATTTACAGAGGCAACTCTCATTATTATTTTATTTTATTTTATTTTCAAATTTTGTTTTAAACTAGTAGTATTCAGGAATAGTAAACTCAATTCTGATGCACAGCTAACCCACAGACCCTCAGTCGGAACTGAAACATCCTTAATTTTTATTGCTAGACTAGAAGATAAAAACCGTTTTTCTTGTTACTACATAAAATTCAAGTAAGCTTGTCACTTACCAGGAGTAGCTAAATAAATTATAATTACGATAACATACATCTTTGCTATTGAAAGAGGCTTCTGCTTTCACATTTGAGTCTTTAGCTGGTGATAGTTCACACATTTAGTAGTTTGATTTCTCTGAAACTTTTACTGGAGGTATGCACTCTGTGAATATTTATTTTCGAGATCTTCATAATTTCTTATTCAGTTTTAAATGTTAGTAACTTGTATGGTCTTTGACTTAATTTTTAAAAATTGTTTTTAAACTGTACCATCTTTATTCCTTTTAATTGTATTTTCTTTTGAAGATGATGTGAGGGTTTTTTTTCTTTAGAAGAGTCTTTAGACTAAAGACACTGTAAGCTTTACATGCATTTCTGAGCTATTAGTAAGTTTTACATTAATAATTTTAAGTGCTACTCTTTCAGTTAAACAGTTAACATATCACAGCATTTCTGAGTAGTACCTTTTCCCTCATTCTTCTAAAGAAATTTTTTCTATACCAAGAGTCCTCTGTTGGTTTTCTAGTATTGTGGCCATTAGTGTGTTTTATTTACCTAGTGCTTTAAAGTGAACAAATTGTTAAAGATAGCTGCGCGTTCACTAATGGGATTTTCATACACTGAATTAAGTTATAAGAAGAGGTTTTCCTGTGTTGATACACAAGAGTAGTAAGTATCTTTCTAAAAATGACCTTTTTCAGAATGTTTAATATCTTTATGAAAGTCTCTGTCTAGAGCGTTGTAGCAGGTGAGAAAACTTCCCTCAATAATTTGAATCAACTTCATCTTGAGTTCATCTTTCTCTGCTTGATTTACAGTGACAAAATCATGCAAGGCTTGTGTAACCAGTAGTTAACTCATCTCCTCTGATGTACCTAGTATCTGCATTTGGCTTTCTAAAAATGGCTTAGCAGATGTTTAAAATTTCCTAGAACTTACCTGTCAGAATACCAAAGAAAGCCGAACAAGCACTTCCACATTTTATTCCTCTACCTTCTTATTTCTTTAGGAACAATACAAGCAGACATTCCCAGCACAGCTAAAGAAACAGGAATCGTCGAAGAGCCTGAAGAAGGTTATCGCAGCTTTGTCAAGCCCCAAACCAACATCTAGTTCACCAGCTCATCAAAAACTCACATCCTTGGAAAACAACCATTCTAACCCATTCCTGACAAATGCACTTTTAGGTAATCACCAACCCAATGGAGTTATTCAGAGCGTCATCCAGGAGGCTCCTCTTGCACTCACTACGAAACCGAAACCCCAGACCAAGATCAATGAAAGTGTAGCCATTTCTGGTAGTGCCCCCTTTCCTTTGCCAATAAACTTGAGTGCATGTGGGAAAAAGCCAACTGGTAACCGTACAGCTGTTATGCCCTCTACCTCTCCTGTGTTACCTGGTTCAGGAAAGGATAAAGCAGTCAGCAATAATGCAGTAAATGCAGTAAAACCACAACACCGCCTTCATTCTGCAAAGCTGGTGGTGGAGCAGTTCAGAGGGGTAGACTCAGATGCCCCCAGCAGTAAAGACTCTGACGACTCAAATGATGATGACGACGATGATGAGGATGAAGATGAGGACGATGAAGAAGATGATTCTGATGATAGCCAATCAGGTGGTTTAACCTTTTTAATAGGAAAAGCAGAAACTTAATTTTTTTACATTTTGAAAACATGCATTTCCCACCATATTTTAAAATAGGGGCAGGAAATACTGGGCCAGCACGGCCCCCACAGTGCCCTACGCATATTGTTGAAATTAGCACATGTCCCCATTCTCCATTGTGTCATGTCCAAAAATCATGTTTGGGGTGTTCAGATACTTGGTCAGGTGTCCTGGGGAGGTGGCTCCTTAGTCTTTTGGGAAGGCTGTCAGAGGCATGCCTTCCACGTTAGTCACCCAGCCTGCAGCTTGATGTGACAAAGTGCTCGGGAAGGGCTTGACATTAAGGCTGATTGATGGTTGATGATCCTGGCAGACAGAGACCAGCTGGTTTCCTAGCCAGAGAGGGACTAAACAAGGGCCTTTGTCAAGAGTGGCAAGAAAAGCATGTTTCTATGCCTCATTCAGGAGCACAGTAGTCCTTGAGCAAGTAATTGGACAGTTTTAAGGGCTGCAGACCAGGCTATGCAATTTGGACTGACAAGACCTGTTTTAAAGAGTTGACTGTATTTACAGTCACTGCTTTGTCTTTTGAGCTGATATCCCTTGTGTCCAGCCTCCACCTTCATCATTCTCTTCCCCCTCTCATCCACACACCCTCTACTAATCTTTTTATCTCAGGATGGCTGTCCTCAGTTCTTACTCTTCCTTTGCCCAGATTGCCATACTTTTGATTCTGACACCTTTCAGCCCGTATCCAGTTCTGTTTTTTCTTCCTCTTCATGATGGATTTCATGCCTGTGAAATGCCCTTCCTGGGGTAATGTGCAGCTGCTGCCAGTCTAACAGAAGGATTTTCTGTAGCTCATTCTGGGGCAAACAGAAGCTGAGATACTGCAGCTTCTGTCACTCATCTGTTTCCATTCAAAAGAACAATGTATTATTGTGCAGCATTACTTAGTACTGTCATATTTGTAGTAACTTTAAAGCTTAGGTAGTTAATTAGAAGCTCATATTTTTACTCAAGAGATGTTATTAAAAAAGCATGCATAATAAGAGAAAAGACTACACAAGTGTTAGGACTTTAACATACTTGGTAATAGCTTCCAAGTCATAATGTGCCTTTTGCCACACTTTCTTTAAACAGAGTCTGACAGTAATTCTGAGTCAGATACAGAAGGGTCTGAGGAAGAAGATGATGAGGATGACAAAGACCAAGATGAATCGGATACTGACACTGAGGGAGAAAAGGCCCCGCTGAAACTGAATAAAACTGCATCCTCTGTGAAGAGCTCTTCCATCGGTCTTACAGCTCATTCTGCCCCACTGAATCTCCAAGTAGCCAAGACATCGAGCTCGGCACCAGCTGCCCTGTGTCCTGAGCCCCAGCCTGCAGTGTTCCTCGGGACAGGGGCCTCCGCCCTCACGCCAAGTACACACTGTGGTACCTCACTGTCTTCTCTTATCCTACTACCATGCGATAGCTAAGGTCCATTGTTGTGAAAGTTGTTGCAAAAATAGTCCAGGTGCTGGTTTTTACCCTCAGAACAGCGATTCCCTGAACTCTAGGGAAGCGGCAGAGTCACCCTCACTGGAGGTTTTCAGATGCCAGTTGGTCAGGGTGCGAGTTAATCTTGGCAAAGCTTCCTTTCCCAAGGAAGGCTGGAGCAGGTGTCTTTTGATGTCCCTTCTGACTTTGGCCGTTGGGTGACTCTGTGATCTTTTCATGGGTGTTTGCAGCAGTCATTGAGATCTGTCAGCCAAATTGCAAGTTCTCCAGACTAGAACATTACACGTAGGTGAGGACATTTTAACTTGTGTAATTATTTAGAGGAGATAGAATTAAATATCCAGATTTGATATTTATTACATTAAAACTCTTAAGTCTTTGGAATTCTCCATTTTATTTTAAACTAGTTATTCTTCTGATTTCTGAACGTTCTAGTTTATGCTCTGAATCTTCAGGTTTTGTCCCTCAACAAAATTTGTAACCATATTTTGTTAGAGCATAATTTTCTAATAAGTCTTCCAAAATTCTCATTAGAATTTATGGATTATGCACAAGGATTTTTTTTAGAAGTTCATGGGAAGTACATTTAGCATTTGCTGACATTATATAGTTCTTACAATCCATCATTTGGTGACAGTTTGTAAGATTTAGAAATTACTATGGCTACAGTAAAGAATGCATTTTTGAAAGTCACATTTCTTATTTGTGTGGTAACAATGAAATTAAGTCCCATATTTCCTACTTTGAATTAGAGACTTGCTGTTTATTAACATGGGTGTAAGCAGATTTTTTTAAATGGGGACATCTGTTTATGAATAATTTTTTATATTTGGATTCAGTGGAATAGGAGCTTCATTCCATGTCATATACAAGGGCATTAACTTTGAAGAAGTATAATGTAATCTACCTAATATTTATCCCAGAAGCAGGCTTGTTTACTGTACAGTTTATAAAAGATTTCATATGGATTAGGAGTAATCCAAATGGGTAAGTTAAAAAGATGATGCTTTTCTCAAGAATCTGTGTTGATTTGGGATGTTTTGAAAAATCTGATAGCAGATTTTACTATTTACAGGAGTAGGAGTTAGAATAAATTTTATGTCCTTGCTTTATGTATAATAATACTATTACACCTAAGAATCACCTAATAAGAATCAACACAAGTTTTCTGCATTTGACATTTGACTGCAGTCTATAGGCAGTGCTCTAGGAAGACTAAACCTATTAGAATATGGATCTTTAAAGTAAAGTGTGTTTTTATTTGCATCTTCTTCACTGAAAAAAAAATTTATATTAACTTGTCTAGAAAAACAGGCATGCAAGGAATTAAACTAACAATATTTGAGAACACTAAACAGGACAAGCTGATAGGTATGGGATAGTTAAATTTTCTATTTACAATTTCAGAGGATGAGGTTACAGGAACTTAGAGGAAAATGTGTTTCAGAAGAACACTTCCATTAGTTTTCTTGGTACTTGAGGTACATAATGACAAGAATGGAAAAACAGTTCTCTTTTGTTTTTGGGGTCAGAAACATAAAAAGTACTTTTTAGGAACATATTTTCTTTTGAAAGCTCTGTTAGGTATTAATCAATGATTCTGTTTTAGGTATTTCAAAAAGACGAAGAGTAGCAGATGAACGGGAGCTGCGTGTTCCTCTTGATTATGGGTACGTTATGTATGTACCTGACTTTCCTTAGAGGGACATAATGCCTTCAAAAATCCATTGGTAAAGAGATGAGTTTAAAAAATTTTGAGGCTGAATACTAAGGAAAGGGCTTCAAGAATTTAGATTTGTGACTCCCAGTGACTGTGAATCTCTTTAAAAAGTGTCAGCGTATTTCATATGTTAATTTTTGTGCATTAAATTTACTCTTTTGCAAATGACCTGTCTCTGAGCTGTTTGGCTTTGGAAATTAATCCTAATGATCTGAGCCGACATAGACTCCAAATAAATCCCTAAAGTATAGTTCTAAGCTGTTTAAAATCTGGTAATATGTAAGTCACTTGATATAAATAAATTCATATATTTAGTTAGTTTGGACAATCTATATGATAAAATTTTCTGGTTTGGTGTGTTTGATTTATGATGCTCTAGTCACATTTTCCTCTTCCTTTTTTTGTAGAATTCTTGAATTGACACAAATTACTTGTTTTTTAAAAAGTGTATTGTTGTATGCAACTATTTCATATTACTCTAGCTGGCAAAGAGAAACCCGAATAAGAAACTTTGGTGGTCGTCTTCAAGGGGAAGTAGCATATTTTGCACCTTGTGGAAAGAAGCTGAGACAGTATCCTGAAGTAGTAAAGGTACATTAACTTTTTAACTTCTGTGTTCTAATGTTAGTAAGCATGCTTGCAGTTAAAATATTTCTCTCCAATAGAGGTACTTATTTTCTGTGATGTGAGGTGTAATGTAACTCAGTCTGTTACTGATTTGATGTCTTATAAATGTGTATCCCTTTGAGAGAACATGCAAAACATTACAGTCACAAAGTTAGCTGTGCATCAAAGCTGGGTTGTAATTATTTGCAAGCTGAAGTGGAAAAATATGTGATTTTTTCAGTATCTCAGCAGAAATGGAATAATGGATATCTCAAGGGACAATTTCAGCTTCAGTGCAAAAATAGGAGTGGGTGACTTCTATGAAGCCAGAGATGGACCGCAGGTATCCACTTTTTAAAAAGTAAAGTTTTTGATCCAAGGAGCATTAACTTAAGTTTAGGTTAAGTAATTTTTGCTACGATCTGAAGCATTACCTGTTTTTAGCTAAATATTTCTAAAAGCTGCACGTATTCTTAACAGCAGTTAGATTGAGACATGGAGAGCTTGATCCTGGGCTGTGTTGAGAACCACATTCAATGGCTTTGCCCAGAGGGTGCTTTAATGATCAGCTCTGAGCCTGGCTTGGTCTAGTTTGAAAACTCAGAGCTGCGTATTTTATCTTAGCGTTCAGGTATTTCTGAATTAAGGCTTTGTTTCTTCTTTTATTGTATACAGCCTTGTATCAATAGTAATTGATGTGTAGATGTTAAATCCCACTCTGTTAGTGTGTTCATAATATATGTATGTTTGTATGTGTGTGTTTATATATATGTGTAAGTTACATATTTATATACAAGTGTCTCCTGTATCAAGAATACTCTGCATCCTAAAGCATGACACTTTTACAGAGGGGGATGCAAAACGATACCAGTTATGCCGTGCAGTGGTATAACTGTTGAACGGTGTGTAGATAAACCATACCAGGATAAGTAAAACTAAAATTTTAAGGAAATTGTTACTGTGTTTGTGCCTGCTGTGTTACTGTATTTTGGCTGTGTTGCCATTTCTTCAGGATGTGCATGAAATTTTTTTTATTTTTCTCAGTGAAGGTGTTTGCTTCTTTAAGGTACAAGTGTTCTGAACATGTTACTAGCTCTCAACAGTCTTGAGTTCAGGTTTGAGTTAAGCCTGATGTTCTTGTAATACCTTGTAGAAGTATGTAATGTTAGTGTGAAATGAAATTGAATGTCTTTAATGAAAGCTTTAAAGACTGAATTAATGGTAAGGAGCTACTTCTAGGTGGGCTGCCAGGTTTACAGGCTAAAACATTCCTAAACTCGCTTCATGTTTGGTCTTCAACAGTTACAGGTTCCCGTAGTTATGAACTTCATATGTACCTGCACGTCTTGACTGAAATAATTCATTTTACTGTGATGTACTGTAATGGCAGGGTATCTGCTCTCTTTTTGCCCTGTTCTATTTTCTTTGTCTGTTACCTGTATAACTTCATTAGTCTTGTCCCCTTCTTTAGTTATATCTGTCTTCTCCCTTTAATTGATTTGCAGTTTGCCCTGTGATTTATAAAACTTGAGAATGAAGGCAGTGTGAGGGGAAGATTTCTACAGGCAAGACTGGCAATGTGAACATTAGTTTGCTTACATATCATCATGACCTTTGTACTGATGTGGTTTTTGATAGGTTCCATTGAGACTTGGGTAGACAAAGGAGAAGTTTTCTTATTAGAAAAAGAGACTCTGGGCAGCTTTGTCAAATGTGCTAAGATGTGTTTACATTTTATGTGTGAATGATGAGTTACAAAACAATGGAGCTACACTCAGTGCTTAGTGAAACAGTATGTGGCACTGATACTTTATAAAAAGAGCTTGCACCCTCTTTACCAAAGTTTTTTGAATCATCCAGATTCAAAATAATATATGATAATCATATCCTCGTGGATGTCTGGAGGTAATTCAAGAAGTTTTTATTTCTGCTTTTGTGGTAATTTCAATTATTCTGTATAGCCTTTAGTGATTATTCTTCCCTTCCTTTGTTATACATTTCTGTCATCTTTTGGGACATGCAACATGTGCTGGGCTAATTTTCACACAGCTCTAAGATGAAACAAGATGTGAAAAAATTACCTTAAGGCTAAATCAGTATTATTAAACATTTACCTATAGCAAGGCAAAAGTACGAGGATTTCATTCTTCTGTTAGTGCCTGTGTTTCTTTCTTGTGGTATGCAAATCGCCAAATATTATGGGTTATTCAAAGCAGTGTTTGAATACTGTAACAGAAGCATATCTGGCAGAAGTGGGCCACAAAGAAGTAGGATTAGAAGAATTATTGAAGTTTGGCAAATGTGAAAATTCAGTGACTGGACTTGGAAGCTTTAGACTGCTGTAATTTAGAAAGCTTGGTATGAATGTGATTTGGGCCGATGGAATAAACATGGGTCCTCATGAATTTAAGTAATACGTATAGGATGTTTGTCCTATTCTGAGTTCTGCAATTCAGTTTGGAAAGCAATATTGTTAACTTCCCCACAAATCTAATCCGAAATTTAAGTGGGTTTTTGCTTCTTGCAAAGTGCCTGTGTTTTTGGTCATTAGCTTGATTAACAGGATTTGAGCTTGATTCTGCTTTCATGCATAGTTGTCTGGTGTCTTTTTGGCAAATGTCCTGATGGCAGCACAGTATTGTGGTACATGGGTAGATGCTTGAAGATGAGAAATTGAATAAAGTTATTATTTTTATTAGTTTGAACAATACACCACAACATTTCACAGTGTTATTCCCTTTTTTTTCTCTAATATTTGAGTAGCAAAGCTTCAATTTTATGGAAGCCTGTGATTCTCCTATGTTAGGACACAACCCCGGTATTTCATCTTTGAAATATCAAAACCCCAGAGTTTTTGTACGTTTTTTAAATAGAACATTCTAACTGTACATTCTTTTAATAGAAATGTATTCTGGGTTAGATTTTAAAAATTGTTTGAGCACAAAATATAGATGGTCAATCAACTGTTGCTTAACCCTTTATGGCTTTGTTCCGGACTATTTCTGTCTTGTCCTCTCTTAAACTTGTGAAAACTTGTGCATCCACAATGGCCTTTGACAGGGCAATAATCTGTTTTCTCCCATCCCTTGAAGCACCTGCTCCTTTTGCTTACTGAGCCATTGCTCACTTCATTTGATGGCCTCTAGTTTCTCTTTCAGGTGGCATTAGGAAAATGTAATAACCAACATGGTCTCTGGTACTAATGATCTGGTACACCTCTTACTTTTTTGTGATGCATATTAATTATTGTTAGTATCATTAACTGCAGAAAATACAAATACAGGGCAAAAGCAATCTCCATTGCCTATCTAAGGTACTTTTTGAACTATGGCTGCTTCTCCTGCTCTTCTTTGATTTCTGTTTTGCCTCCCTTGGCATGTACATTTTATGAGATTAGGTTTTCTAGGTTGGAAGTTGGTGTAGCTCATAAGTACAAATATTAAATCTACCTCAATAAACTGAACCCGTGAGAAACTGCAATTCAAGTACTAGGCAGAGAAATAAAAGTTACACTTACGTAGTACTCTTCAAGATAGTAAGAGAATTAACTTCTAGTCAAGTGGTAGAGATAAATATTTTGGGTTAAAGTCCTTAGGGGTGATGCATGATGGTGTGGTACACATTAATGATGTGGTCTTGGTTCTGAACAGTGCATTTTCAGAACATAATTAATAACAAAGCACTTTGGAATGTGTGCAAACCAAATGTGACTTGTACTTTGGGGATGATCTTAACTGGGAATGATTCAGACTTTAGATAAGTATCTTTGCAGATACTGATAACTCCTTTGAAATCTGAATGTCTCATTAACAAGCTGCCATTTCTTTTGCTGAAGTTACACAAAACCTTTGTAATTGTGAAGAATGAGCAGAAATAATTAAAAGACAAATTAAAAGAAAAAGCAGAAGTAATTTATGTTGTGGTACAGTAAATTGGATTTTAAGGTTTATGTACATATAAGTGTGAAAACTAAAGCACTCTGAATATGTTTCTTCTGAACTGGTAACTTAAAAAACTCATTAAATACCAACTTTTCTTCTTGCTCTGAGCAGACATTTTCAAAATTTTTTACAAACCTTGCCTTTTTAAGGCAAGTTATAAAGAAGTCCTAAAGGATGCTTAGCTTGCAGATTTTCACTGCATTTGTCAAAAGCTTGGGGAAATGGTAAAAGAGGTTAAAATTTTGAAATACTGTTGTTCAATTAAACAGGCTTACCTAGACGGTACATATTTTCTGCTCAGTAGACACAATAAACTCTAGTTTTAGTGGCCAGGTAAATAAAGCTATTCCTTTGTGAGAATGAACTTGGATATTTTTATCAAGAAAGTATTTTAGAATCTGCTTTTGTGATGCCTCAAAATACTGCAGGGCATGCTTTGGTTAGAGAATATAGTTCATGTAGCTTTAGGTATGTGGATGCTTAGAAGTTGCTTTTCATTGATTCAAGCTGGTGCAGAAACTGTTTTGCAGCGAATGAGGGGAGAACTCAGTTGTACTAACTAAAACTGGATGATTAAATGCATCTGTGTTTTCTCAGCTCAGTTGTTGAGCTCTGTAACACTCGAAAGCAATATTTGAAAATACATTACTGCCTTTGCTTGTTATGTATGCCAGAATTTCTGTAAACACTCTGTTGGAAAACAGCACCTCATAGCTTGACACATTTTTTCATTCATGTTGAACAGTGGATTATATGAAAGCAGAATATTATTCATAATATTAAATGAAAGCAGAAGTTGTTAAGTTTACATAATTAGGAAAAATCTGTTTTGCCCTTTAGAAAGGGTTGAACAATTTGATTTAATGAGAAATAATTAAAAATAACACAGTAATGGCATATCTACTAGGTAAAAAGTTAGCATATGCTTGAATAGTCTTCAAAATCTTTCTTACTGGTGGAATTTACAGAAGTTCTTAGTGATAGTCTCTCAATAGATAGCTTCTGTGCGTCGTCAAGAAATTGTCCTGCCCAAATAATACATCACAGCACTTGCATATTTAATATCTGCAACTCACCTTAGATTCCGGGTTATTTCAACGTGTGTTTGTAATACCTCGCTGTGGCATGTGTCGATTGAAAGGGTGTGCAGTGGTGTCTCCTGAAGGAGGAGGAGGTCGTTCCGCGCATCAGAGCCATGGAGGGGCGCCGGGG